CTCACCCCAACCCCCCTCCTGCCCTTCCCCCCATCTCCCTGGGGCATGTAGCACCCCACACACACACACTCACCCTCTGACCCCTCTCCCCCACGGGGCTGAGATTTGGGAACTTCTGTCACAGGCTTTGTTGCTGGAAACAAATCAAACTCTGTCTCCAACAGGAAGCCCCCCCAACCCCCAGCACTGCCCTTGTGCTGCCCTCCCCCCAGATCCTGGGAACTGGCCCTGGCCAGCCTCCCTGCACCAATGTGCATCTGCCCCCCCCCAACAGGGTGTGGGGGTGTCCATGGCATTTCCTTCCGAAATCAGCAGCCTCCCTCCCCCCCGCGGGAGCCAGAGAGAACCGGGGGTCCCCTCCCCGCAGTGCCAGCAGCACAGCCCCCACGCCAGGGTGGAACCAGCCAGACACCTGGAGTCCCCCAGACAGAGACGCCCTCCTCCTGCCGCATGGGATTCTGGGAAGAGTCTAGATGGAGAACGGGAGAGCCCCTCCCCCTCCCCAGGCCTCATGCCCACCCGTCTGGGTCCCATTAGCAAGCTCCTGCTGCGTAGGGGGGCCCCTGCTCCGCCCCCCCATCCGCCCCCCCCCCCCCCCCGTCCGCCCGGCCAGACGGACTCACTTGTTGCCTTGCAGCAGACGACCACTCGTAGCCTCAGGCACCGCCCGGCGCTCTCTGGGGTGGGGACAGCTGGAGGCAGAGACAGGGACATCAGGGCATTGCCCATATGGGCACAGCCGGGAGCCAGGCCTGCCCCGAACCCAGGCATCCGGGCTCCCCCTCCAGTCCCCACTCGGCGGGAGCCCCGGCCCGCTCGGACCCCTCCCCTCGAGGGGCCATTGAGGGGGATTTATGAGCAGCTCCCAAGCGCCTGGCGCGCGGCTCCGTGGCGGGGGTCTTAGTGCAGCAGGAAGCCCCTGGGCCCAGCAGAAGAGAGTCGCCCCCCGCCCAGCTGGGAAACATCAGTCCAGCCCCTCCCTCGGGGCGGGGGAAAAGCAGGGTCAGCCGGGGTCACCGTCAGGGGGACGCCAACGGACCCAGCTACTCCCTGGCTTGCCTGCGGGCACCGGCCCCTCCACCCACAGGGCAGTGCCCGCCATGCCCCCTGGGCACTGGGGATCTCTGCGCACCCCTCGGCCAGAGCTGCTGGGGAGAGCAGTGAGGCTACGACCCCGGGGGAGCCCTGCCCCCGACAGCCCACTCCTCACTCGCACCCTGAGCAGACCAACGCTCCCCCAGGCCGGCCACTGTGGGGTGCTGCACCAGCACCACCTCCCCACCCAGCACAGAGGCATAGCAGCAGGTTGTTTGGATGGCCTGTGGTGTGGGGGGGGGGAGAGACCCCGGGGAGCCGCTCCCCACCCCTCTCAGAGCCCAGGCCCTGGCAGCCTGGGCCAGCGAGCTCTTGGGGGCTGTCACGGAGTCCCCGGGCGATGCTCTGGAACTGCTCCCCACAAAGCCAGTCAGGACTTTGGGGAGCCTCCTCTCCCTCGGAGCAGACCGTCTTCAGGGCAAGAAGCTCACACGGCTTCACCTCCTGGGTCTCTCCTGGGAGCATTCAGCATATGCCCCTCCGTGCGCTTCCCACAGCGAGTCCGCCCCGGCAGGGTCCTGGGGAAGTCAGAGGGTCCTGCACCCCAACTCCGCAGTCAGACGTGACTCTCAGCCAGCCAGTAACACAGAGGTTTATTAGATGACAGGAACACGGTCTAAAACAGAGCTTGTAGGTACAGCGAACGGGACCCCTCTGCCGGGTCCATTCTGGGGTTCAGAGAGCCAGACACCCACGTCTGCCCTCACTCCTAGTCCCCAAGTAGCTCCAACTCTGAAACTCGCCCCCCCCCCTCCTTCTCCCGGCTTTGTCTCTTTCCTGGGCCAGGAGGTCACCTGATCCCTTTGTTCACCTTTAGCTATTTCCTTGCAGGGGGGGAAGGGGCCCTGGCCATTTGTTGCCAGGGAGACAGAGTGTCAGTGATTTATGCACACTGGTCTTTCCCCACCACCTAGAGACTTAAGAAATGCGTAGGGGAAACTGAGGCACCCACACAGTATTCAGAGGCAACATTAAGAACAGTCCCACTTCGTCACAGGGGAAGCTGGCATTGGCTGGCTGGAGCAGGGGTACCCAGCCAGGGCCCAACTCAGGCAGCAGCCAAGATCTGGGCAAGGGGCGCCCCCTCCTGGCCACCTGGCACACTGCAGTGGGCTGGGGAAACGGGGACAGAACCCCTGTCAGGGCACTGCCTCCCAGCTGCTCCCACATGCACCCAGCCCACAGCTCCGCCTGGAGCCAGCCCCGCTTGGCAGGGCCTGGGGGCACAAGCGGGCCCGGGGGACACTCACAGATGTAGTAGTAGGTCTCCCCCGGCTGGAACTCGAAGCCCAGCGAGAAGGGCGTGAAGCGCTGGATCTTCTCGGAGAAGAGGACGGGCCCGAAGGGCGCATGGGGCCGGTTGCATTCCCAGCGCTTGAAGGTACCAGGCGTCTCGTAGCAACCCCGGTAGCCCTCGGAGTCCGCCATGTACAGGCTGAAGGTCTCGGCCTGGCCCGTGGGCACGGGGTGCTCGTAGTGCGGGCAGTAGATGTCCAGGTAGTCATCGATGGAGACCTGGACAGCATAGTCGTCATGCAGGAACCTGGGCGAGAGAAGGGGCCAGGGAGTGGGCCCAGAGCCATGGTGCCAGGAGGGCTAAGGGGGGCCAGCAAGGGGGCAGGGAGCTGGTGGGGTTAGCAGCCATGGTGCCAGGAGGGGCAGGGAGCTGGGAAGGTTGGGGACAGCAGCACCCCCTCCGCCCCCAGCAAACCCTGTCCGGAGCAGCTGTGGGGGAAGGGGAGCCAGAGTTCAGCCACACCCACCATCTGCCCACTGTACCCAGCAGCCGGAGAAGGTCTGGCCCGGGGCTGACAAGTGCCCGCGCTGCCTGTGGGCTCAGAGCCGGCTGCATGGGCAGAGGGGTGAAGTTCCTGCAGCCGGACGCTTAGCAGCAGCGGGGGCAGAGCTGTCTCAGCCAGGCCCCACATGCTGACAGCTGCACCCTCCTCCCCTGCCCCTGCCTTCTCCCAGAGTCCGTGTGTGTCTCCAGGGTTGGTTCCCATTGGCTGGTTACAGGGCACCAGCTAACGCCAGGGAAGGAACTGGGAACTCGGGGGTGGCTTGCGTTGGCTTTACAGATTCCTTTGTGCCCATTTCCTGTGCTGGCGACCTTGGCCCTGCCTGCAGGGGGAGGGCGCTGGGACAGGGTGATGAGATTCCCGCTCGCCCCTCCTGGGCACTTCAGACCGAGGGATGGACCCAGCAGGTGCCAGCTCCCAGGGGAGCACAGGCCAGACAGGCAGAGCCAACGGGGTCAAGGGACTGACAGCTGCGCTTGGCCCCCGACTCACCCCACTGCACACGCCAGCTTTGGGGCCGTGCGAGGGGGACAGCCCCAGGCCCCCTCCCCCGGTGGTCAGGCCAGGCGCTGGCAGGCCCAGACCCCAACACCTGGAGTGGACGTGTCAGCCGCTGGCTCCCACGCAGCGCTCGGCTCCAGCCTGTTGTTGAAACAGCTACCGGGCAGCCGGCCTCGCTGAACAAAAAGGCATCAGCTCCGATTAGGCTCAGCCTGCTGGAACTGAATGCGCTCGGCGGGGCGGCTGGGGAGCCAGGGCCGCGGCTCAGAGCCCAGCCACGCCGGGCCGTGAGCTGAGTGCGCACAAAGCCCCTGCCCCAAGCGCAGGCCTCAGCGCCCCGCTGCGCTGATCGGCTGTGACATACCAGTGGGGGGAAGGGACGCTGCTCACACACCGGGCTGCTGGGGCCAGCACGGGCCCCTGTGCAAAGTCTGGTGTGCACAGTGCATGGCCCGGTCCAGGGAGCTCACACACCTGTGCACACACACACAGTGCACGGCCAGGCCCAGGGGAGCTCACACGCCTGTGCACAGACCCACGCACGGCCAGGCCCAGGGGAGCTCACACGCCTGTGCACACACACACAGTGCACGGCCAGGCCCAGGGGAGCTCACACGCCTGTGCACAGACCCACGCACGGCCAGGCCCAGGGAAGCTCACACGCCTGTGCACAGACCCACGCACGGCCAGGCCCAGGGGAGCTCACACGCCTGTGTGTGCGCACACACAGTGCACGGCCAGGCCCAGGGGAGCTCACACGCCTGTGTGCGCGCACACACAGTGCACGGCCAGGCCCAGGGGAGCTCACACACCTGTGCACAGACCCACGCGTGGCCAGGCCCGGGGGCAGCTCCAACAGGATCCAGATTCCCAGTGGCTGCAGTGCAGGATTGAGGCTGGACTGGGCAGCGCTGGCAATGGGAGGGAGAACGGTCTAGTGGTTACAGCGCAGGAATGGGACCAGGAGGTGCAGGGGACTGGGCTGTGCCCGCTGTCAATCCACCCTGAGCATGAGACAGACCCACCAAGGGCAGCTGAGAGGAGCCCCAGTCCAGCTGCACCCCCTGCTCTGCCAGGCTGCAAGGGCAGCTTGGCGGCTGTGCCCAGGAGGCAGGGAGCGCCAGGCAGTGCCCTGCCCTGGCAGGCAGTGGGCTGGGACATCAGTGCCCGTTTAACGAGGGCTGGGCAGGTAAGAGCTCACACTGCCCTGCCCCACCCACCAGCCAAACGCAGACACCTGGCCGATCCGCCTCCCCCGGGCAGGGCAGGGCTGGCGTTGTCTGTGTTCACTGGGCAACAGCCCGGGATGTAAACAGGGCTGCAGGCCAAGCCCCGCTGCCCCCCTCCCCTCTGCCCCACGCCATCTCCTGGGCTAGGCAGTTGGGAACCTGCCTGGCATAGCCAAGGAGGACAGCGGGGCCCGGCTACCAGGGGCATCCTGCTACTCACAGCCCTGATGCGTCGCTCCCTTGGCGCGGGCACACACAGGGCTGGGGACAGGCTGCCTAGGGGGGCGCAGTGAAAACTACGACCTAGTTCTGACCTGGCCTCCCAGCCACAGACCGAGGTCCAGGTGCCCCCTGGTCCACGTGCCACCTCCACGTCCCGTGGGGGGCAGCTCTGATGGGAATGCCCAGCACTAGGGGTGCACGCCCTGCTGAGCCTCTCCCCCAGCCCACAATCCAGCCTCTCTGCTGCAGGACACCAGGGAGGGCCCTACAGCAGGGCCGTCCAAGGCAGGTCCCCGGGTAGCGGGGTCGGCAGTGCGCGGTGAGCACAGCCCGGCTAGTCCCTGCACCGGCCTCGGCAAAGGCTGATGCTGGATCAGCCAGCACCTCAGTCCTGACTCGGGCAGCTGGGCCGCGGCTATTAGCCACGCTGCCGTGGGGGGAGTGGGTGGCCAGCCGGCCCCACCTACGCCCTGCTCTGCCAGCTCCCGCCAGCACCGGCCCCAAGCCATGGGACAAAGACGCAAAACGGGGCAGGTCACGGAGTGCCCCCCTCATGCAGCCATTCGCCCCTGGCTGGCCCAGACGCCAGCACCACAGGGGAGGGAGCCCTCCTATCTCACCTGGACACAGACCCTCACCCATGAGTAAGAGGGGAATTTGGACCCCCTCACAGCCTCCCCAGGGGCTTCCCTGGAGGCCCAGAGCCCCCCACAGGCCTGGCCCTGGGCACCCCCCTGCCCCAGATGCTGGACTCCTCTACCACCACTTCCTCCTTGTACCCGAGCCCTGCCCAGGTTACGGCTCCCAGGCCTGCCCCCTTTCCCCCAACTTGTGCTCAGGTCCTGGGGAAGCCCCTTCCCCTCAGCAGGGCCCAGGCTCCGGTGTGACGGGCTGGCACAGTAACCGCTGTGTGTCAGGCACAGGTCGAGCCCCATCCCTCCCACCCCACTCAGAGCATCAGCAACCTTAACCCCTGCCAGGGGCCAAGCCCACAGGGGCTGGGGGTGGAGTGGGTCTCAGCACAGGCAAGGGGCCTGCATGTGCTCTGTGCCCCGAAGCTGAGGGGTAAGGGGCTAACAGCACTTGGACAGAGTGATTTGCGGGGCAGGACTCTCAGCGTTATCGCCCCAGAAGAGCTGCAGCTCCAAGCGCGTCCCGCGGCAGAAGTCAGGAGCTCACGGTGGGGTTTGCCCCAAATCGCCCCCAATGCTGCCGCATTGGGAGCCAGCTCTCTCCCTGCCCCCCAGCAGGCCGGAGCCCTGCGAGCAGGCTGGCATCCGCTTGACAGAGCTCTGAAAATGAGGCGGCAGGGGGAGGGGGAGGGGAGATGGGCTCACCCCCAAGTGCACCTGTGCAAGACCCTCCGGGGCAGCCTGTGCCCAGCCTGTGCCCAGCACCACGGGGACGGGCCAGGACCCTCCTGCCTGGAATAGCAGGGAAAGGTCAGGGACCCCCATGCCCTAGACTGCCAGTCCCCTCAGCCCCCCGCCCCGGGCACAGTCTGGTTTAGTCAAGTCTCAAACACAATTCAGCTTTCTAGAGGGAGGGCCCTGCAGCTCCCCCATCGCCACCCTCCCCCCGTGTCACAGGGCACAGCCTGTCCTGAAGCCTTCGGGCACAGCCCAGGGGCCCTCGCCATTGGAGGGGGGGTGGCACCCTCATGCTGCCTGCAGAGAGGGGGCAGGAGCCACTGCCACACTCGGGGAGGACAGAAACAGCAGAGGCAGGCCCCAAAGCTGCTTCCTGACGCTCCAGCCCCAGAACCCACCTGGCAGCTCAGCCCTGGGGCTCGGTGCCACAGGCTCACGCCCGGGCAGACAGGAGAGTTCCCAGTTCAAGGCTACAGATGAGGCGGGGGGTGGGGGCAGGCACATCCCCTGGGCACAGCCTGGAGCAGCGCTGGGCCCTGCCACGCCCACGTTGGGTGCAGGGCCAGCTGCGATCACTGGGGAGGGCCTATGGGGCCAGCACTTTCCACCCGGTTCAGGCAGCAGCAGGCCCCCCAACCCCGTGCCCCTTTGCAGGGCGCCGGGCGCTGCCGGGCCGTTCCCACGCCGGGCGCTGTAGGAGGCGGGACGTTTCCCGGGGAGCGAGTCGCCCCAGACTCGCCCCGACTCGCCCCCTGGCCGGGCGGCGCCGCTCAGGAACGCCGGCCTGGCACAGGTGAGGCTGGCAGGACCTGCCCAGCGCAACGCCCGCTCCCTGCCCCGCCGCCCGGCCCCAGCTGGGCAGGGGCTGGTCCAGCCCTCGCACGGCCCGCAGCGCCCCCCGGGGCATTTTACCGGCCAGTCGCTGCTGGGGCCGGGGAGCCCGGCCCGGGACTAGCCCAGAGCTGCGAGCCCAGGGCGAGCTGCAGGGCGCAGCCGGGCCCCCATCGGCGCAGGGCTGCGGGGCCGGCGGGGCGGGGCGGGGCGGGGGGGTCGGGCAGTGCAGACAAAGGAGCCGCCGGGCGCGCAGCGCGGAGCCGGGACCGGCCGGGGACCCCCAGCCACGGAGCCCCCCGAGCGCGCCAGGCCGGGCCGGCGCCCCGAGCCCCCCCGCTCCCTACGGCCCCCGGACCGGACCGGGCCGGGCCGGGCCGTACCTGGGGTTGCTCGAGTTCCAGTAGACGCTGTGCCGAGGGATGCGCCCCGGCCGGAGCCGCCCCCACACCAGCCGCCCCCAGAGCAGGAGCTGCAGCACCAGCGCCGGGCGCATCGCTCCGGCCGGTCGGGCAGCGGGCGCG